TCAAGTACTACAGAAGTTGTTAATATTAAAGATGGATTCAAAGAAATTGAATCTTTGACTCTATCTACATATAGTTCAATTTACAGTTCCCTTCTAAACATTTTTTTATTTAATCGGAATTACGGTCCACCTAATGGGAAACTATAACTATCGCCTATCATATAGTTATCATATGATACTACACATGCATTGCTTTTCTAGAGGACTAAGATATTATATATAGCACATTGCTTTACTTAAGACAACAATCACTGTAAAAGAGATATACACATTTGCTAAAAAATATTATAATATAGCCTTAAACCAGATGTACAATGTGTAACTGTTTGTTGTTTGTAATTTCACTGTCTTATCTGCAATCTATAATCGAAATTGGGCTTAAAAGACAAGCTGGTTGAGTACTGAAATAGTTGAGACTGAGGTGCCCGCGCAAACGACTATTTACAGTCTACCTGTAGTTATGGTAAACAGCTTCAAGAGAGAAATTCATTTCGACTGTATTTTTGTGTTACTTGAAAACGTTTTTTATATGTAATCCTGTATATTATATCCATGTAATATTTTTTTTAATAATAATACCCCTGGCCAAATCATCCCATGTCATCCAGTCCCTAGGTAAGCATAACTTGTGTTATGGGTTATATATTGTGTTTAGACTAGACTAGATTTGATATGAATACTTAGTTTTTTTTTTCTAAATATATACATAATTTACGTATGATAACAAAAGTTTGCATCGTGAGAAGATTCGAAACCGCGACCATCGGAAGTAAAGCAATGTGCTAAACCGCTCGACCACCGAGGCCGTCATATAAATGTACATGTACATTTATGATAATGCAACGCAACATATCTACAATCGGGTAAAAATAACCACGAAATATTGTTAAGTAGGTTAAAGTATTTGGGGCAGTGCGATAAAGAGGTCGAGTCGACATTTCATTTCAGACTAAGCTGGGATGGCACATTCAGATGCTGCACAAGACATAAGAAGGCTCCCAGTTTCTTAACGAGCTGTGGAGAGGGCTATGATTGGAGTTTTACTACTTTAGAACTCAAAACTAGGTTATCCGAATAAGTAGCAAAGTTAAAAAAAAAACTACGACTTTTAGATATTTCGATTAGCAAATTTAAATATTTTTAATAGAAATTCAATTTTCTTAGCTTTAATAGATCACTTAGAGAGCGTCGTGCCTCGTCTTAGGCTACAAAGGACTTAAATTCGAATCTGGCATCATAAAATGTTTATATTTCAGACTACGACGACGCGCCATTTTATGGTTTGTTTTTTATTATCTACTAGCGTGCCCGCGGTTTCATTCGCATGAAATTTATTGCCTAATTCTGATGTATATTACTGTAAAGTTTCATCAAAATCCGTTCAGTACTTTTGGGTGGAAGAGTAAATAACACTCACAAATTTTCGCGGTTATAATATTAGTAAAACTATTTGATATAGCAAAATTACTGTTATTTTTCTTTTATCTACTTTTCTCTCGATACATATTAAATATACTCTTTCTTCATAAAACCCACTGTTTTTTCATAATTATATTCACCAGCATAATAATAATACAGTCCTTTCGCACACAGAGACTGACGGCAAAAGAAACATATGTGGCAAAACAAATTAATTCGAGAGACGGCGCGGCGGTAGGCTCGCCCTCGCCCTTCTGCATAGGGTATGCAAATACGAGGGAAGAGGGTATGTCGAGTGTTGTCTTACCTATGACGTTGTTAGTTAACAATGTCCTTGACTAGTCCATCGGGAATAATAGTTGTCAAGGTTATTTTTTTTTAAATTAACTGTTCTTATGTGGAAGTCCATTTCATTACTTAAAGGATTTATATTATTTTGTTTAATTCCACTATCAATAGCATATGAGGTCCCAAATATTAGTCAAGTTTCCGTATTAAATTTACACAAATGCGGAATAATGGTAGCGGAATTAAACAAAATAACATTAAGCATTGTATTTTTTTTATTTATATATAATAGTAGGACTTACAATATCGCCTCTACTATAATAATATCTCCGGAAAATTCATACAGCTCCATCTAGTCTTAAGTCACGCAGAGCTTGTGTTATGGTTATTAGACAACTGATACATTCCTTTTTATAAATACATAAATAAAAAACACCCAGACTGATACAAACTTATAAAAACAAATGTTAATACCTTGCGAGGAATTGAACTGCGACCATCGGAAGTAAAGTGTGTTAAACCGCTAGATCACCGAGGCCGACTCGTATATATCGTATGGTTTCCATACATATTCAATTAATACTAGGTACAGACTAGGTCTAGACTAGGTTATATGGCTAATACCCATAACACAAATTCTGCTTAGCTTGAGACTAGATGGCGCTGAGTGAATTGTCCTGAGATATTATTATTTTTATTAAAAATAGAAGCTTATAACATTCTTACTTCATCTCTGTCTACCCCGTAAAGATAAGTATAATTAGAAATGAAGACTAGATACATGTCTGCAATTAGGAGTATACGATGATTGCCCATTATTATTGTAAGTGCTTACATATTTTTTTTTATCTCAATTAACTTATTTTCTAGCTTCCTGTTGTTAATCACTCAGTGTTAGATAAAAGTGCGCTTGTCAGAGTTGAAAGGTCAATCATTTTAATTACAGCTTATTTTTTTCTAATTGGTATAAGTGTTTGTCTCTTTTACAGATACAAGATTAGAATATATGACTAACAGTTACCCTCGACTTAGACCGCGTGAAATTTAACTTGTTTTTCTATAATATAAATAAAATTTCTAAAATAAAAGTAGCGAAAGTTACTACTTACGACATTAGGCATCTGCGAGAAGAATTCTCGTCAGAATCGGTCCGTCAGTTTGAGAGATTAGTAAGAACAAACAGACAGACAGATATTTTTTTTTATAAGTACCTGATATCGTATGAAAGTAATAGATGTATTTAGTGGAAAGATGTAAATATGACAAACAGGCACTTCCATTTTATTTTTTTATATTTGGATAGATGCAATTACAGGTATGAAGGTATACCATCTTAGTACTCTGAAATGGCAACACAACACTTCAATATCATGATGCAATAAAAACAAAGACGCCTTGCTGTTGTTTTAAGCCAAAGGTTTTTCTTTGATTCCGTCATTAAAAATGTTACGAAATTAAACGAGTGGTTGCATTTAATTTATATTTTTCTACTAATTTATTTTTGATTTAGTTTTATTTTATATGGATATAGGTAAAAAGCAAATAGAATAAAAATATTTGGAATACGGATATATATATTGTGAACGATTGGCAAGACACATACATCGTCACGTCTGTCCGTCTCTATGTATGCTTAAATCATTAAAAATACGCAACGGATTTTGAAGCGGTTTTTTTTAATAGATAGAGTGATTCAAGAGGAAGGTTTATATGTATAATACATGTACACCCGTGTGAAGCCGGGGTGGGTAGCTAGTTGAAGTATAAACAAGAATGTACAATGAAAGAACCATAAATTTAAATTCAAATTTAAAATAAAAAATACATTTCTGATTAGCCAGTATAGTATACAACAATTTCTCTTCATATTTAGTTATTAACTTGTTCAATATTGTATGTAATTATTGCACAATTGTAGGCAATTCGTTGCATTGATGATTTGATTTTCTTTACAATACTATGACTAATGTAGAATGCCTTTTGTATATTGGATTCTGTGGTAATAAATTCTGTAGATAAAATGTAGAATTACCTACAATTTAGGTATTAATGTACCTACTAGGAGTTAAGACTGCATGTAACTTGAACATGATGAAGGGAAGGTTTAAAATAATCATTAATATTATTATTACTGTTTGCAATGTCTATCTTTTTATATATTTCTAAATAACAATGACTTTAAAAATGATTTAGTTTATGCCAATCTTACGTTAAATCACGGATGTATGTATAGTACCTATGATGATATGCTTATTCAAAACTTACATATCTGTCTGTTTATTAACTTTGCACTAATAAAAGACTTTACGGATCTTACTGAAATTTGATGTGACGATAGGTTGTATTAGGAGATTGTATATGGCTATCTGTTATATTGAAAAAAAAAATCAAACACGGTTACAGATAAAAGGTTATAAGTATCATCAAATCAAAATATCTTTATTCATGTAGGTCTATTAAAGACTCTTATGATATATGAAATTTAGCGTCAGTTCGGAGCGCCTTCGAGCTAAGAAAAACTGGTAAGAGACAGCTCTTATTCTTTTTGAATGAGGTTGTACCTGTTTATCAAAATACAGATTCATTTTTAAATTCAATTAGGAAGAATAAAGTGACAATCAACGTATTTAATAACTTCCAATCCTTGGCCATAACACAGAGCTACTGCCAAATTAGTAGAGTTTGGCATGTCCATATTTAGCTAAGGATTTAAAAGGAACGTCCTCGTATTAGTTTAATATGTTACCAACGAACGAAAAGTTAGTCATATGGTTTAATTAACACGTAGTTTTTTGTCAGCAGAATCGAATTTAATAGCTTTGAGTTTAAGTAGCCATTATACAATACCTACAATAGGTAATATCTCCTTTGGAAAGTCTACTCTCTATCCTGAGAACATAAAACCCATCGCTCCTAAGAATATTCTTCAATACTTGTCCCTGACGGGCCTAGGAAGCGAACTCTAAAAAAGGTTAAGCTATTGTGCTAATAGATTTATGTAGGTCGCTGTGCTATAGGTCCTAGCACCTGACGATAGCCCACACCCTCCAATAAAAAAAAAGAGTAAGCATAGCAAACCATATCTAAAATAAACATTAAGAAAGATACATGTTTTTTCGATGATACAGATAGAGAGACAAGTTATGATGCTATGACCTATGACCAATAATATTAGTATAGTAGAGAGAAGGGGATTGTAAGTAATGGGGTACTAATATTATATAGAGAAAGGATTGTAACGGGGTACAAGTGAACTATTGCTATCATCATCTAAACAAAAAAAATATAATTACCTTGCCATAACCCTGGGTGGTTGCGTCTGGTTTAGGCGCAGTCTCGAATAAATTCAACCTGGAGTTTTGAAAGAAATCCGTACTGGAATTTTCCCTGGAAAATAGTTCCGCTGTCGAGCTCTCCCTTGTGAGTGAAGGTCTAGCTTTAACAAACGGGTTATTCCTGGCTGATCGGACTTGTTTTAGGAAGTTGAACTTGGTCACCGCTTCAGGGCCTGGTGATGGGGTTGGAGTGTTATCAGGGGTTGGAGTGTTGGCCGTCTGAACAGGACTTTCTGTTGACACTGAAGCCATAGCTATATTTTTTTTATTTTCTTGATTTTATTTTCAAACTAATTTGGAATACCGTCGAAGATATTCGATGATAATATTTTGTTTTTTTGCGTATCAGGAATTAATTTCTTGTGTATGTATGTAAATTTATATTCTTGGATGCTTTAAGGGTTTATTCATTTTTGTTATTCAGGAACACACTTTAGTTAATTTGTAAAAATTCCGTTTAAAACTATTCTTCTTAGACAACACTACTAAATATTCAATAAACTGTTACATTTTCAACAACTGCTCTATAGTTTTCTCTGTTCGTAATAAAACGATGGAAATAATTTCATGTTCAAGTACAAGGTTATTCGTACACTATCGTCACATGGAAATACTTTTTATACGTAAATATGATATCGTATATATATATGAGTATTAGGCGACTACGCGCGGGAATGCGCGGCGCGGGACTGTTTCAAACTTTGAACTGCTATCGAAATGAACTCGTACGCATGCTATTATAGTTCGCAAAACATCATCTAAACTGGTACGTAAAAAACAAATTGTTAGTTTAAAAAACAGTTTACCGATTTTAATCATTCTTTCGCCGATAGAAAGCTTCTCGTCCATTTTCAGTGAGCAATATATGTACTAGTGTTTTATAACTAGCTGACCCCGCGAACTCCGTTTGTCTCAGAATTAAATAATATGTCGAGGATTTTTTAAAGTTTAGTTACGCAAAAAATTTTTGAACGTACCCTGTTTGACAGGTATCAGGTATATTATACCGGTATCAGGTATAACAGGCCGTTAGTATGGGAAAATAAAATTGTTGTTTTTACTATTTGAAATGCAATTTCTTCATATGAAGGTTTTATGTTCCCAGGACTTCCACGAATATTTCAAGACTAAAATTAGCCAAATCAGTTCAGTCGTTCTCGAGTTTTAGATAGAGATCGTCATAGTTTTTTTATCACTATCTTTACCGTCCTGCAGGCGTATCATGAACGTTTAAAAAGTCTAGACTCTAGTTAGATTCCAGGCAGTTTAGCCTTGTTATTTTTAGTATTACGATGGTCAAAATTCAAGCCGTCTGCTGCCTGGGAATAAAAGTTCATAGTACGCAGGCCGAACTGTCTGCGTGCTAGCTACTATAATTGAAAAGAACTGTCAAGATACTCAACTGGTATATATTTTCCATATAATTATTATTTTTAAAACACCTGTAGGCTAATGTCTAATTTCTCTACGAAAATCTAATAATATTATCTATATTTATGAAATATTATCTATATTATATAAAAAAATATATGTCTATTATTATAAATCTATTCGAAAAATATTGACGACCTCCGCTCTACTGTCGATCAATGCGGGTTCGATGCCCGTACAATATAAACATCTGTATCTGGCTTTGCATGAACGCATTACAAATCTATAAATTTCTCTGCTTGTACTGTGCTACAACACGCATGTCATATACAAACCTTCCTCTTGAATCACAGTAACTGTTGTTGCATACTACATTAAAATTCTTTGCAAAATTTAAAAGATATAAACAAACAGATAGTGGGGCGACTTCATTTTTTTATTTCGTCAGGCATATTATTATATACGTCAGGCATATATTATTGTATAATAATGTTTTATTTTAAAGATTACTAATTTTATTTCAATTACTGTAATAATTTTCGTATATAGTTTGTTATAAACATATGTTTTTAAGGATTCCTGTGTTATTGTTTTTCTTTTGTTTTTTCTTTACAATTGAACTTTAATACGCAGGCAGTTAAAGGTTCTTTATCCACAATTACCTAATTTTATTTCAATGATCTTAATAATTAACTGAGTAAACCCTAATACTAATACTACCTAACACCCGGACTGGTATATAAATTGGCTGTGAAGATAAATCTCGACGAAAATAAATACAAAGTCATCAAAAAAACGGCGTAAAGTTAGTCATGACATTTTTTTACAGATGGGGTTACACAGGGTAAGAATAATTATTAGGAACGAATTTGTTTACCACACAGGGAGACCATATTCAGACACACACACACCACTAACTATCATATACTCCACATCTTAAGCTAAAAATAGTATAACTTCACGTCACAAATAGATATAATAATATTTTTAAAGAAGTAGTACTATATGGTCCCGGAGAGAATCTGTAGTACAGGTTTCGACCTAGTTCAGACTCCAGAGTCTCACAAGGAACAACTTGAAAGTTTAAATATAATTTATTATTATTATAAGACTCACATCGGAGCAGTAATCATCATCATTATCATCGCAACCCGGAGGAGAGGGAGCAGTAAAATGAACTGTTTTAAACTTGACGCGGTCATTATTTATACGTATAATTAGTAAAAATCACGGGATCTTACCACGTTTTATATACGTCACATATAAGATCCCGTGATTTTTACTAATTATACAGTAAAATGAAGTTTATTCTTATATTTACATATTTATTCAAACTTGATTGCACAAATACAATGTATAAATGTCCATATGGCGAATTTAACATCAAGGGGTTTATACCAGTAGATCATAAGGCAAACTGAGAAATTAGTAAGCGGCTCATTATAGTTAACAAATAACAACGAATCTCTTTGCCAAGACTATGTGTATGACAAAATTTATCACAATTGGTTGAGCCATTAGAACAAGAAGTATGTACCAATAAAGTAATTAGAGTTACTTTCATATCTATACATATAAATAAAATTGGAGTGTTTGTTTATAATATTGAAATAACCATTTTTTACTACATGCATATAAATATAAATACGGTACATAAAAATATAATATTTTACAATTTTTTTCTGTCCATTTGTTTGTACCGGTTAATCTGTAAAACGGCTGGACCTATTTTGACGGTATTTTTATTGGCAATTAGCTAATGTAATAATGAGTAACTTAGGCTACTTTTATTTTAGAAACATTATTTTATTTTATTTTAGTAATAAAGTTGTGTATATTTGTATTCATGACAAAGTGTCTTAATACAGTTTTTTGTCATATATACAATATTGTATACAGACAGCAATCAGTTACGTTTTAACCGAATTTATAAAAACAAACACTTTATACATTTATATGCGTAGAGACAACCCTAGATGTGTTACCGATTGGCCTAAACGCTCTACGTGGGTAATCTATTCCCGCAATTGTATGTTTACAATTTTACATCAATGTCAGGGTATTGTTTCCAAATATCGTATGACTCATTGTGCTACAAATATACGTAATTTATAATGTGTATACATATACAACTGTTTCAGATGGCAATTGTTGAGTATTTTCTTTGTATTTTTATTAATATAAATGGCAAAACACAGACAATAGAGCTGTCGACGACGAAATGAAATACATGAATTAGGTCACCGAATTTAATTATTTTAACTCCCACTCCCGTCCTTCTGATCATGTGACGTCACATATTTTACAATATTACATGTAAAAATTATTAAATTAACAAAAATTTATATCTATTTAAAATATTTATTAATCAAATATAGATTCCCCTCACAGACAGTGTCACATTTCGTTGTTTACTCCCATTAATGTATAATATAATATATGATCGAAAATTGGTGACTAGTCGAAACTTCAAACGCTTTCAATAGAGTATGTTTCATAGTCTCTTTAAAAAGTCAATATTACCACAGATAAGATAATATTACATATTTATACTGTCGCCCATTGTTTTCCAGTTGTTTTCTCCACAGTGATATTTCAAAGCCCCTTTAAAATCGATTTCCTATAATTTTTCAGTTATTGTCAGATACAATGACGATCTGGTATTCTTGGCATGTACTCGGTTTGCGAGTGAATTTCGTTATAATTTACTGTTCATCGTTAATTATATTTTCCCCTGACACAAAAACTGCCACAACTTAATCTGTACACTTCATAAAACTCATAACAAATATCTACGCTGTCCACATTAAGACTAATTCGAGAAAAACCCGACCAGTAGTGCCTAATTTTTAAACGACTTCTGAGAAAATAAGGAAGATTTCAATCAGACTGACTTTTGTGTTTTACCTCAGAACATTTTTAGGGGTAAACCGATTTAGATTATTCTTTTTTTATTTGAAAGCTGGTGCCGCACGTTTGGTCCCATACAATTTTATTAAGGGGGGGAAGGGGTTTGCTAGTAATATGGTTTTATGACAGCAAGCAAGCAATGTATGTCAGGTTGACCTCCACGCGGTTCCCTTGGAAATCATCATGATAAATTCGTAGTTACGAATTTACGTCACGTTGGGCTAACTGATCTAACTTCATGTTCATCCTATCATCCTCCACAGGTGCCCCGCCAGCGTAAACCGTTAGCGCAGGGGAGTGCACCATTTCATTATCATCCTTTAAAAAAAAAGGAGACATTTTTGAAACCAGTTGAAAATAACGTATCACTTTTAGATAAACGGATAGTAATCATTTTTAGAACAATTGTACTGTATTTCAATATTAATTTAAATAAAAAGTTAAATCTGCGTCACATATAATTTAGCCGTTCCCGCCATTTTACAATACAGACTCTATAAACTGCATATGCAGAGTATGTTATAAACATCATAGTTTAATTTATGTAATATCATGTTATCTGTGGTTTAATTATTCCAAAGATAACATAACATTACCAAAGACTATATATACATATACTATAATTGTATAGTAGGTGTATAGTTCTATGAACACAATGACAACAAATTATGGTAAGCGCCTCCCATATGACGCCATCAGTCAAGTGAGACGTGCGTAACACTATAACACCACCTTGTTCATACAAGTTCATTAAATGATGTATGCCGTGACGCAAGTTATTTTGTATCGATTTAAATATGTTTATTGATTAAAATATTTAAATAGGTAATCCTATATATACATTTCAAGGAAAAATATTAGTTACTATTTTAAGCAAACTAGTGGTCTAATCAAGTCATATATAACACATTTATAACTTACTAGCCGCATAAATTTGATAATATTGATATGGATAATGGGATAAAGTAGGGGAGGGGATTATTAGTAGTGGATATTACCCCATTGGTTCCCAGTTAACACTTCGTGGCCAATTCACCAGTAATTAACTACGACGATTTCCACGAAACTTTTTTTATAGCATAGGAGACAAACTAGCTTGCGGCGCATCTGATCGCAAGTGATTACCGCCGCCTATGAGCAACAACACCAAGGGAATTGCAAGTGCATTGCCGGCCTTTTAAGAAGAAAGCTCTTTTCTTGAAGGTTTTAATATCGTATCGGGTGAGTGGAAGTCAATCTGTCGTGATATATTGCTACGCAAGGTTGTCTGTAAGAGATTACTTTGAGCGATAATGCCTTTTGTTAACAAATTTTTGTATTAGCTCTTTACATATA